GGGTGGGTCTAAGGTCTGGTCACATCAGCCGAGAGACGGGTCTGGATCATTCCTCGCGGGCGTTCGGCACCTTCCCCCCTCCCCAATCCATTCCTCACGGAGAGTCCCAGCCGTGCACAGATCGTGCTGGGATACACAACTTGCAGAATGGTCGGGCCGGGGAGACACACCCGGACGCCTGCGGCTGACAGGAATAGGCTCCCCGGAACCGCAGACAAGCACAAGTCTGCTCCCATTCAAGCCCAGGGGGCTTTGGCCATTGACTTGAATTAGGAGCAGGGTCTGTTCCGGAATCTGATAGACGGATGGTCCCGGACTCCGGCTCTGACACGGGAGCGGCGCCAATGGCTGAAGTAGCCCTTATTGCCCTGCGCTAGAGACAGTCTCATGCCGTTGTTTGGATTCAACCTGCGCTGAGAACTGTGATAAACGGTGCCTCTGGCGGGGCACTCGCTGCTTTTTAAACAGCATTCTCTCTCCTATAAGAATTGGACTGGTTTGTTTTGAATACAAAGGTGTTTACTGAGCATCTATCCAGCCATTTATGATCTCAGGGACTACATCTCAGCGGAGAGTAATCTCCTTACAACGCCTCAGGTTTATTTTTACTAAGGGCAAAAAGGGGTCTAAACCCACCTGTACTTGTTTGTTTGGGGTGGTGAGTTTTCCTTGTAATCAAGCCTGCGCAGAAGAACAGACCCTCCCAAGATTTTACGGAGGAAATCCCCTTCGGCTCAAGGCCGTATGTGGCACATTTTAGACTCGAGAGAGATTTTATTGCAGAGTAATTATCCTCGATCCCCTTCCTGGTACAGGTTTATAAGTGAAAACGCTGCCAGAACGCTATTTAGTGTAGCGAAACTGCAGTCAAGAGGCTGCTGGGTTTACACGCCCCCTGTTGGAAAAGACCGTGTAATTAGGAAGAACTCTCACCAGAGGAGGCTTGAGTTCAGGGCCTTGACGGCAGGGTGATCACTTACGAGGGAGAAGAAGAAATAGCTTCCCTCCTTCCTTAATGAAAATTAGTTGGAATTGAAATGCCAAGACAGAAGATTGATACGCAACGTGCAACACGCGTGGTTTGCCTCGTGAGAACAGCTAAGTAATGAACAGAAACTCCTCCCCTTATTGGCAAATGCTTTGCTTTTTTAAAGCCCCTTCCTTGCCTCATACGCATCGGTACTAATAACACTCATAAAAAAAGATGCAGTGCTATAGTTAGTAATATATTGCATGGTCATAGCCGACCCCAAAGCCCTTTATAAACATGAATTAAATAAACCCCACAATCCCAACACTCGTTTATTATTACTCCCGTTTTACAAAAGAGGAGAGGGAGATATGGAGCGAATCAGCGATTAGCTGGGATTCACACAGCGAGTGTATGGCTGAGATGGAAGTAACATTTAAAATCCTGAATCCCCATCCCCTACTCTAATCACTAGCTACACTACCTTCGTTTTTCATCAAGACACATAAAAAAAATAGTGCATCTCCCTCGCACTGCTAAACTCAAGCCTTAATATTTAAAGCCTAACTACGGGTGTGAATCTAATCTAATTTTTTTTGCTTTAGACCAAAGACACTCACGTATTATTCAGGCAGTCATTTAAACACCTTTTTCTTTTTATCATTTTGGCAAATGCAGTTAACAATCCCTGTATGAGGGATTACAAAAGGCTGTAAAAAGCAACAGAGGGTCCTGTGGCACCTTTAAGACTAACAGAAGTATTGGGAGCATAAGCTTTCGTGGGTAAGAACCTCACTTCTTCAGATGCAA